ATTAATGGTAATGTGTCTTTTAAATAATTTTTAAACCAAATAGCTCAGCAGGTTAAAGCACCTGCAAGCAGGCGCAGGGGCCAGGGGTTTGATCCCTGGGCCTACCCTGCCAGCCCTGCCCCTGGGGGGCACTGAGATGGCAATTGAGACTGGGAGTGGTGGTGTACGCCTGTAATCCCAGCTCTTGGGAGGCTGTAAACAGGCAGATCACTATGAGTCTGATCTAGTAGTGAGACCCTGAACACCCTGTAGCCACTTCCCTAAAAAATACAAAAACAAAATAACTTTTTAAAACTTTTAAACATTCTGTATGCCGATTACACCTCGTAGCACAGAAGACCTCACAAAGTACTGGCGGCATTTTACTGAACTTCTCAGCCTCTATTAATTGTTAAATTATTCTTAATTATTCTTATCTAGTGTTTTTTATACTGGCAGGAAATGGAATAGGATACTTAATTTCTAACTTTCCGACTGTTTTGATAGCATAGAGAATAAAAATGAAAACAAGACACTACTGGGTCACATCAAGAAATAGCTTTATCCAAAGGAAATTCACATATGGAAGTTACATTTAACATGAGTAAGTTTTACATGTACTATCATATGACATACACAAAACCAAAATATAACCACTCACAAGTCCCACCAAACTTACGGTTTAGCTTATGTGTGTCACTTCCATTGAAAACAGACACTAGAAAAAAAACTAACAGATGATGGCCTTCTAGAAAATACAAAATGAATCAGGTAAAGGTGGTTCAACTGTAGCCTAAGCGGCAAGGGGGCCCCTGAATTCACTCTGGAAAGGCTGTCGAGGGACTCCCCGCAAGTGAGCTGTTGTAAATCCCTGATCAGTCTCTAAAGTTTTAATGGTTTCTGACAACTTCAGCTCTCACCACCAGGCAGGGTCGAGGCGAGTGGGTGCACTCTCTTCGCAGACCGCGCATGTGCGAGAAACTCCCGGCACCATCACCTTAGCAGGCATTTGTAACGTACCTGATTACATGAGGTGCAGAGATCAATGTGGCTATTCATTCTTTAAATGCATTGCAAGATTGAATGGCACTTGAATGAAGGGTGGCACAACAAGGAAAAAGGTGACAGCAGTATGGAGCAGCATGAAAGCAGGATGTATGAGGGCAAGCGCTAAAACGAAGGATTTCATAAAAATGATCATTTTGAAATTACAAATGCTCCTCTTTCAAGCTGCAGAAAGGTCCCAATTACCTTAATTTGCTGGAATCACAGTACTCACAAATAACACATGTACTGGTGAACCTGATCCAGAATGAATAAACAAAACACATTTTCAAAAGGAACAATCCTGGTGGAACCAGAATATAAAATTATGCAGACCAAACTGAGTTGACGGTGATGACGTATTTGTCCAGTGACCTCAACGGAAGCTCATGACCAGCAGTTCCCATGACTCGGGGGTGCTGAGGCAGCAGTGAAACAGGGGGAGGTGGCCCGGTGTGACCTGTCTGCCTGGTGTGACCTGCTTGTTGTGGTGGCAAGCAAGCTCTGCTCCCATCCATCTTACCACACAGACAGCAAGCACAAGTCATTGTTAAGCTATTCTGTATTTTGAAAAGATAATAAAAGATAAAAACCACAACAACAGAGCTGTGCTGCTTCTAGGCAGGTAAAGAGAGCTGAAATGGGGACATGGGAGATGATGAAAGCTCCAAACGAGGAAGAATGATCAGTTTCTTCTCAACTGATGCTAAAATGACTTGTCAACTAGTGAGCCATACAATAGAGGTGCTGGAGAGCAGACTGTTAGGTACTTAGCTCAGGTGAGGAGCACAGAGCCAGTGGTGAGCTGGCCCAGTGGGAAGGAAGCAACCGCTCACCTGAGCCTTAAGAAACCAGGGCAGGAAGGAGGGCCCCTCTGAGCCAGACTGGCCATGAGCTCTTCCTGTGAAGCCAAAGGATCTGTGGCTGACAGCTTCCTTCTTTCATGAGTCGTAGAGCAAAAGGCATGGGCTGTAGGGCACGTTTTAACTGACACTGAGGCGTGTGGGCATGGTATTAGAAGAATCTGCTCAAGAACGCATGATGGACACACTATAATAACTGGCTAACTGGTATGACATTGACCAACTTAGCCCTAGGGTCTCAGTCAGATATCTTAAGTCTAATTTGAAAACGTAAGTAATGCATCCAAAAGGGTAAAGTTAGGAAAATAATTCTACTGCTTGGGCTGGAGACTGACATGAAGGCCTCGTGCATCCCTGGCCAGTGCTCTTACCACAGGTACTCAATCCTAGACCATGAAATTCAGCTCTCTATAAACGAAAGGCAGAGTAAAGCGAGGCATGGTGGCACCTGACTGTAATCTCAGCACTCCAGGGGCTGAGGCACAAAGACGACAGGCTGGAGCCCAGCTGGGGCAACTCTGTGAGACTCTGTCTCAAAATAAAATTTTAAAAGTGCTAGAAATGTAACTCAGTGGTAAGAGTGAGATTCTAGGTTCAATCTCCAGTACTGAAAATAAAATTAAAATTAAAATTAAACAAGCGTATTAGACCTTTTATAAATTTTTGTTGTTGCTGCTGTTAAGTTATACAGATTTTATATTTAATAGTAGACATTCCAGATCTAGGAAACAGCACATTACTAAAATGTAAAAAGGACCTTTAATTAATAACCAGATAATGAGTTTAAAAATCAGACAAAAATACTATTTTTTTAAAAAGGAGAAAAATATCTAAATCAGTACAAGTTAATATATGAAACATGAGCAGGGAAAATATACAAACTACTATTAAGAATAGTAAAGGCATTTATCAGAGAAAATGAAATTACAAATTTTCTCCTTACATGATTGGTCCTCATAGTATCCCTGCACAACGAAATCCTAAGCATTGATTGAACCTCAATCAAAATAAACAAAGAAGGCAGAATCTGAGACAATTCAGGCACCTACAGTCTATGAAGCTGCAGAATCCTGAGTATCACATTCAGCCAATGAAACGAAAGGCCAATCCTGACCATCTTTACAGTATGCCACCCAAAAATAAAAAATCTAGAAAGGCAAACACCCACTGCATACTTACATGAGATTCTTTTTACTTGTTGATTGTATATTTAAAAAACTGAGTTATTATCTTTCCTTTTCAACAAATCCCATTTGAGTGCAAGATGCTTTCTAACTGCGCAGCATTCAAACTGCACAAAACCAAAAATCAGATGCCAAGAAAAGGTAGTTTTTACTCCAAGGAAAAGGGCTGAATGCACAGCTATGGGAACAAATTCAATATTCTCTAACAAACCTTCTCAATCAATAGTATGAGCATTAGCTTGTAAAACATCTACCACATACAAATACAGCAATCTGCAAAGTCCTTCATCCCAACAATTTTTCATTCTTTCTGACAAACATTTAAAAATGGCATTTTCATCATATAAAAGCAAACAAAATTCAATTGTCCCTGCACTAGGTTCTAAGCCAAACAACCTCGCTACAATTACTGTAAATTACTAGCAATCACTGGATTGACTGGCAAAGATGGACTTGGCACTGTCTTCCTCAAAACAGTGTGCTTTAAACAGATAAAAGCCATAAAGTACCAGGTTTACATCATAAATGCAGGCCATGAAATATACAAAAAATGACAGATACACGATTTTATGTAAGAGATGGTATTGGTTCCTGGCAGCTTAAGAATTCTGTTGAAGTGGTAACAGCTCTTTTTATTTTGTAGCTGGGTTCCTGGGAGGAAGGAGTTTGTATGTATTGAAGTAGCCCACCACCTGCTGGGGAATCTCCGCCAACACACACTGAGCAAGTGCTTCTTTTGGAGCCTTGAGAAAAACAAAAAGCAAAGTGTCTGTTAGTGAGGAAGACTGACTGGCTTTTTGATAAAACTAGAAATATCTCAACAGCTGTAGACAAAGGTGTAATTCAGTTCCGACACTTGTATCTCAGAATACTCCACGAAATACAGAATAAGCTAAGGAATCAATGCTATCATGATTGCTACTATCATCCCTGCTTAAGTCCTCTTGAACAGGCCTTTCAACATTTGATGATTTGTTGTTGTTGTTGTTGTTGTTGCTCTTTAATATTTAAATGTGAGTCTTTCATTTGCTTGGTATTAACTTTTTAAATTTCCTATTTTGGAAAAATTAAGAACCCATACAGTAAGTTGCAAAACTGGAAGTCGTACGTACCTTTAACCCACTTTCTTCCAAAGGTAACATACAGCTATAGTCTACCAACAAAACTTGGACACTGGCATGGTACAATTCCCAGCTTTTATTCAGATTTATTAGTTTTACGGGCGATCCCCACAAATGGTAGGAATGCATATGTGTGTCACATGTATGTGTTTATGGCTCATGAATGTACATGTGTGTAGTTCTATGCAATTCTAACATCTGTACAGATCTGTATAAGTGACACAAAAGCCAAGACACAGAACTGCTTCATCATCACTACGACCCTCAACATTACTGCTTTGTAATCTCACACTCCTTGGCTCCCTTCCCATTGCTAGTGGGAATATAAACTGGTATGACTGTTCACTACAGTTTGACTGTTACTTCAATAATTAAATATGCAATTACCATATGACCTAACAACTGTACTCTGGACATTTACCCTTGCAGAACAAAAACACAATTCCAAAAAAATAAAATAAGCATGTCCATAGCAGTTTTTTGTGTTTAAAAAAAAAAAAAAGCTGGAAAAAGCCCGGATGCCCTTTCATAGATGCATGGGTAAGCACAACAATGCACATCCACATGAAATCTACTCTGCAACAAAGGGGAACACATGGAAACAGACGTAAAATAGCTCCCTGTAAGATTATAGAAATTGAAAGCCTTTTAGAAAGATTATTTGGGAAGAGTAACATTCAGAGTCTATGTTAAGATTTTATGTGACTTCTATGATTTCCATACATCAGATTAAATTTCATATATTATTATTATTATTATTTTGTCCTTAGTACAGGGTCTGCAGCATCTCACTACAAAGATCAGACTTGTAGTGATTCTCCAATCTTCAGTCTCCCAAGGGCTGGGATTACAGGTGCACACCACCACACCCAATCTCAATCCTGTCTCAAAGATCTCAGGGGGCGGGGCCAGCACAACACACAGGAGATCAAACTCTGTCCCTGAGTCTGCCTAACCAGGCACTTTAATCCACTGAGTTATCTGGCCAGCCTTTAAATTTCATATTACACTGTAAGTTAGATTTTTGTATGTCTTTTCAATGACAACTGATACCCAAGACTAACTTTAAAAATTACGATATAATACTAGTAGGGCTTATAGCTCATTTATAAAATGGAACACTATACATAGTTGTTATAGAACAACTAAAAAGTCTTTCTGTATAAGAATTCAATGTGGAAAAAAAATGGAAAGTGTTTAAGCACAGGTGTAGAACATTCAACACAAACTTGCTCCACACAACTTCTTAGAGGGGGTAAAAGGCCATTCCATAAGGTCACATATCATGATTCCATTTGTTGAAATGCAAAAGCCGATAAATGAGAACAGATCTGTGGTTTCCATGGATAAGATTATAGCTATGTAAGTATCCTGGCTGTGATCTGTCCTATGGTTCTACAGATGTTACACCTGGCGCCAAATGGGTAAAAGTCTTCTAGGACATTTACATCAAACCAAGCTCCAGCCTGCTAAATTCAGCATATTCTGGTACAGAGGCTTTCCTCTTGTTACAATAGTAAAGATACAATATATCTTAAGACATTCACAACAATAGCATTTTAATAATTTGTCACACAGACTATAAGAAACACACAAGAAGATAAAACAATGCCAAATCCAATGAGCTTTCATATATGAAAGAGATGACATTCAGGTCTCCTAACCCTGCACACTGGTTCAACTTCTTGGTTGTACACTGGCAAAGTTGTATGTCTGAATGGGAGGAGCCATACTCACATTCTGGAACTGTCGGAAAGGCACAAACTGGACAATATCCCTGATGGCCACCTCGCCCCATGGGGAGCGGAGACTTCCCCCGTCGCCATCCAGAAACTCCATGGCACTGAAGTCAGCTCCTCCAACTCCAACAATGATGATGGACATGGGGAGCTTGGCAGCATTAACAATAGCTTGTCTGGTTTCATCAAGGTCCGTGATCACACCATCAGTGATGATCAAGAGTACAAAATATTGCTGCCAAGAAAAGAAAGTATGTGCACTCAGCAGGTGAGGCTAAGAAGCAGTGATTAATGACATCTCTGGCTTGATGAGTCACTCAGCCTCTTTCCTGATCATTTTCCTTGACTGTCTCCCCAAGATACCATCTGCATAAAATATTCTACAATTCTCTGATGACAAGGAAATCGACTCTTACAAAATCTGCAGGTTGATTAAAAGTGCAGCACACCACAAAATAAGAGTTGGCAAAATACATGGAAGCAAGACATCTAAATGTCAAAGACTAACCTTTCAGTAAGCACAAAAATAAACACCTTCATTTAACTGAAACATTAAATATGTCAAAGGATGGATCAAGGGAGTAAGTGGTAAGTCCATTTTCAAAAGTTCAACTAAATATGGAAGCAGTAGAACTGTTTACCAAACTAAAATAGGCTTTTTTTTCTTAAAAGGGGACATGGTTAACACCACAATCTTTCTCTCAATTTTGTCATCTCTAATGAAACTTTTTGGAAAGCAATAAATTGTTATATAGAGTTATAACTGTCTTTTGGGCCATTTCAGTTTAGAATGAACTAAAGATTTAAAGAGTAGGAGTTAACATGCACCAAGTGATTAAGTCAGGTACTGCATACTTTATAAGAATAATCTTATTTAACTCTTTCAACTGTATGCATTGGCCTCCCCCTTCTTATTTCTGAATGCACGGAGCCAAGACAGATTTGATATCCAGATCCAGTTGGTCACAGTCAATCAATTCAAACCTCTTTAGTACAGTAACTGATCCTGCCACAGTCACAGGCAGCAGTGTGGAACAGTGGAATCTGGAAGGCTCTTGTGTTGAAGGCTAACCACTAGCTGGAGGTGCTAGAAGAGGTGGTTGACACTCCAAGTCAGGCCCAATTGGAGGAAGTAGATCATGCGGGAGTGCCCCTCCTGGGCTTATCATGTCCCAGGCCCTCTCCCTTCACTCCTCATCCCTCCCTGCTTCCCTCCTCTCTTTGCTCAGCTTTACCACACTACTTGCCATGATGCTCTGCCTCACCAAAAGCCCGCATCAACAGAATCAAGTGGCCCTGGAATGAAACCCCTGAAACTGATTCAAAACAAATCTTTCATTTTTTAATCATTTCAAGTATCTTGTCACAGAAAAAAATTTATGAATGTAACCCTTGATTTAATACTGTCTTATGTTTAATGATCAATAATTTAACAGTAACAGCCAGCACTCCAAATAATGACAGTGTCACTGCTTCTTATTCTTGGACTCTGTACTGTGATAAACCAAATCAACAGAAATATGGCACCCAGGGCAACTACCACTCCGCATTCTTACCACCCTTGCACACTTACAGAAGCAGTCTGCTGTTGTGTGGCTGCAGTTGCAAACCTGGCAACATGATTTATGATTGGAGAAAAGTTAGTTGGTCCATAGAGCTTTATTTGAGGAAGACAGGCCCGGTATGCCTCTACAATGCCTTGGATTCCTAGAGCAAAGAAAGCAGTATTACAAATCCTCAAGTACAACTTGTTAATTCACAATACTAGCTAATTTACTCAGATATTAACAGAAAGGACCTTGAGGGGCCCACGAGATAGCTCAGCCATCTAAAGCTCCTGCTTACGCAAACTTAGGTAATAGTGCAGGGACTGCGGTTTGATCCCTGGCACTACCTGTCATGCCAGCCCCGCCCCCAGGGTGCGCTGAGCCGGCCACAAAAAAAACAGGCCTCAAGTAGTCTAGTTTTATACTCAGGAGTTTCTCTAAGCTACACATTACAAAATTCTATAGCAATGTTTCACTGAAAAAACCTATAAACCCTACCCTTCTCCAAAAACATCATGTATTCTCAACTCAGTCAAATATTTATTAGTCTAGGGCTGGCATATGGCTCAGTAGTAGAATGCATGTTAAGGCCCCGCCTTCAATCCCAAGTGTTACACAATAAAATATAGTTTTTAGTCTACAAGACTATTACACTGTTAATTTTTTAAATTTTATTTTATTTTGAAAAGTAAATAGAACAAAACAGAAACAAGACAGAAACAGGGCAACATAAACAATACATATGCTACAGATTTTCAAACCAAGAATAGCTGATTAACAATGGTTGATATATTATCTATTTTTATCATCTAATCTGTTGCTCAGATTAACACATATAGTTATGTACGATTGGACATATACTTGCATATTACTGCTTGCTTTGAAGAAGCCTTAAATTTTTGTTCTAGTTTTTTTTTAACTTTTTTGAAAAATTTATTTTAAAGAGAGTATATTAATAATTGATATGATATTAGAAACAGTACACATGTAGAAGACCAAGATGACAGGTATTCAAGCATGGTTTTTGTATTACACACTGCTATCCTTGATGTACACTGTTAATTTTGATGTGATTTTGAATGCAACTTATGGAAAGAAAACCATGAAAATGTGCTATATCCTATAATCAATGATAAATCAAAAGAAAAATCTATTGATAAAACGAAGTCATTTGTTTATATAGCCAAAAGTTCTATAAAAATACATGGTTATAAAACCAGTATTAATTCTAGTTATTAATTATGTCAATGTTTACTCAGTAACTAATGATTAGACATGTGTATATATTAGTTTCCAATATTCATTTCTAAGTTGTTTATTGTATTTTCTTTATGAGGACCTGCTGGAGTGCTATACAACAGTTGGACAGGGCCTTCGGCCAGTGCAGTTGACAGGACATGACACCCATTTCTAAGCAGATGTTTCGAGAATTACTGCCTGTTCTCTCCAGCTCAGTTGCTTCTACGATGGATACAGCTCATCACAGAGAAGGCTATTCCTTTATCTAAGTCTCAGATTAAGAAACACAGAGTGGAACTGTAATCTAGCGACATGTAAAGGAAGCAAGAATGAACTGCTGTCATTATAAGCCACTGACATTCAAAGATCCTTTATTATCATACTAACATGCCCTAGTGAGCACTGACTGGCCTTCCTGGTAAAAAGCACTGCCAATGGCGCTCACATCTGATGTACACACCTGCTGAAAGTGCCCTGGATAACAGGCCTTCAGATGCAGATATGATACCAGAAACTGTAAATGATTCCCTACAATGCGCCCTTGGATCATCATGGAAATCTGCCACAAAAACAAACTTCTAATGCAAACCAAAACACATATACAGACACACATAAACGCTTCCTTGTCAGTCAAATTTGAAGGAAATAGTCTTATGAACAACTTCTAATAACTTTAGAGATGATTTTACATGTGTAAGGTGATGTTACAACTAGGAGCCGGTCTAATAGTGCTAAAAATAATATTAGCAAGGCAGGCCAAATAGCTCAGTGGATTAAAGCACCTGCAAGCAGGCGCAGGGGTCAGGGGTTCAATCCCCAGGCCTGCCCTGCTGGCCCTGCCCCCAGGGCGAACTGAGAAGGCAATTGAGATTAGGCGTGGTAATGTACACCTGTAATCCCAGCTCTTGGGAGGCTGTAAACAGGCAGATCACTATGAGTCCGATCTAGTAGTGAGACCCTGAACACCCTGTAGACCCTTCCCTAAAATACAAAATACATAAATAAATAAAAATAAAAATATTAGCATTGGCTAGAAGTAGGATGTGCCACTATAAAATCATACTCTGTAGAGAAAATGAGCCAATAACCACAATTATTTTTTCCATTTCTATTATCTCTATTTGTTTTCAATCTAAAGACACAATTAGTTTAATTTCTTCATAAATATCAAGAGCTTTCAATTCTCCAACTAAAACTGCACTATGCTTGTTAAAGTCACAATTTATAAGGGAATAATAGATTTAATACAGAGCACATAATTCGTGGATTAGGGGCTGGGAAGATAGCTCAGTAGAATAAGCATTTGCCTGGCAAGCACAGGGTCCTGAGTTCAATCCCCCAGTACCAGACCCAAAAAAAAAAAAAAAAAGTGACTATAATTCGTGGATTATAAGAGTCACCCAAAGAGTCAGATGCAAAGAGTGTGAGAGATCTGACAAAGAACCTAGCTGAGGCCTGGACCCCACAGCAATGCACTACACGATTTCAACTGAAAACCTAGAGCCCATGCAATGTCTTCAGGAGTCCAGCTGGAGGCCTGAAACCCAGAACAGTGTCTCATGCGATTTGTACCAAAGGATCCACACTGAGAAGACCCAAAGGTCAGTCAGTGGTGGAAGCTAGAAAAGTCTGCATTCACTAGATGAAGGATCTGTGCCAGCAGGCTGAGGAATCTGCACTGCAGCCATGAAGCAACGCTCCAGGACCACAGCTCCTCTGAAAAGAACTGCAGCCATAGCCAGTGACAGGAAATCCCCAAGCTCCTCTGACGATGAGAACAGCTGAGTCCATACCATGAAAGCCGTCACAAGAAGAAGCCACAGCACACCATCTTCCTCTTTGCCATTTTCCTTTTACGCTGTTGGCAACACTCTTCAGGTGGGCCTCCCAGACCAGCACCACCCTGATTCAGTTCAGCTGGGTGTTATAAGCTGACCATTACTTAATGACCCACATTGCTGAAAACCCTTTCCTTTGCATTAAAGGAACAAGTGTGAGACCTTATTTCTGGGCAACTAAGTTCAATGATTAACTTTAAAAAGCAAGTGTAAGGTCCCTGCCTTGTTGGGTTTTTTTTTTCATATTTATTTCTTTTATCTAAAATAGATTTGATTCTTTTCGCAGAGCAGAAGCCCAAAGTAACAAAGGTATATCTGATGAGCACTCAACAGATGGGTTCATGCTACTCAAAGAGTAAGTGAACTTCTAATATAAATTGTCACAAAGTCACCTGTATTTTACAAACTACTCCAATTTCATCATAAACATGAACCATATTTTTTAAAAACAACAGCCCCAGCTTCAAAGAGGCAGGGATAAAAGAGGTTAAAATCAGCCACCAAAGTGACTCAATTAGTATGGAAAAAAAGTAGAGGACAAAGGACAAAACCCCTAGGCAAACTGCCCCCAACAACTTGGTTCAGGTTATTCCATACAATAAATATTGCATTAGAAAGAAAACAAACACCTTATTCTAACATCCTGCAACTGTTAGAAGAATCCTTTGCAGAAAGTTAGCTTATTTCTAGAACGTTCGGTGATGGTTCTGACCCCATGCCTACCTCTCTTCCAAGCTAACTGAGTGGGAGGCTTGACACTGCAGTTGACAGTGCACTGTGGTAAGAGCGAGAATCACTTGCACATTTGTGGTAAAAGAAAAACATGGAGAAGACAAACGCCTGCCTCCTGCTTTCCACACAACAGGAGTTCCACACAACAATTACGATAAGAGTTCAAATCTTTGTGGATTTGCCCACTCCATCTACTCACAGAAGACAGGAACAAATAACCACACAGGGAACCAATTTCATTTTTTTAAAAAATTGTAACATTGTTTTTAAAGGGCCAGGGAGATGGCTCAGTAGAATAAGCGCTTCCCTGGTAAGCGCAAGGGCCTGAGTTCAATCCCCGGTTTCACACACACACACACACACACACACACGCAAAAAAAAATTAAACGTTTTATAGATTTTTTTCTGAGACATATCTGCGTGGAGACTAGATTTAAATTTGTAATTCTATTTTTCCTGTATCAAGCCATTATGCTTAAACTATAATTTAAATTGATAATACAAAATTGATGGCTCTGACAACACAATTTTAATCACAATCTCTAACTTTAGTTTAAAACATCTTTGTAGGGTGTTTTTGCTGTTTTGTTTTGGTATTTGAACTTACTTCAAAGTCTTTTCTCTTTTTAGTCCATGTGTATAGTCCATGCCAACTGCATCTCTTGGAGGGAACTGGCACACACACACCTGATCCATCTTAATTCTGTTGCCACCTCCATCCCCTGCCTCAATCTTTTGCCCCCTTTTTCCCTTTTGCAAAAGATCTATCTTCCTGTTTCCCATTATCTATCTTGTATTTTGCTCTTCTATTTGTTTCTCTTTTAAGTTTTACTTTTTTGCGTAGAGAATTTCCTACTTTAAAAAAGATTCAAAAGTTTTTTAATACTGAATTACTCGTTTTACTGAAAATTTATTTCAATACTTTTAATGTGATCTTCACTGACCTCAGACAATCAATTTGTTGTTCCATTAAACTTCTTAAGGTAGAAGAATTTAGCCTACAACCTTCATATGATAATACTGATTTGCCTCATGATTATCATTACCTCCCTAACCACCAACCTGGTGCAATTTTTCTACTTATAGAACAGAATACTGAATATGGCACACCAATGGAAACCTAGAGATGGAGTACAGTTGGTTTAAAACTGAAGGAAAAAGGCCCGGCAAGATAGCCCAGCTGCCTAAAGCGCCTGCTTAGGCAAGCTTAGGCAAAGCACAGGGACCTCCATTCCTTCAATCCCAGGCACTACATGCCACATCAGCCCTGCCTCCAGGGTGGGTGGAGCTGACCAAAAAAAATAAATAAAAACTGAAGGAAAAAACAAAACAAAGACTAGTGAGGCCTTTACTCGGAGTTTTCATGTTTATTTGTTCACTTACCATTACAGTAGGGATTAGATGGATTAAAGTTCATTGGAAACTCATGAGATACCTGTCAAAAGACAAAAAAAAAAGGGGG